GCACTGGTCGGGATTTCTCTCGATCCTGACTAGTGAAAGCGAGTTTTCCTTGGGGTACCCCCGTTTCCTCATACACCAAATTTTAAGGCATGGGATCTGTAGATCTCGGCCACGACACTTTGATTTATCTTGAACATTTTTCATTTCGATATCTTGCAAAACGTGATTCACATATATCGACTGTTTGTTTGTCAATCCCTTCATTTGCCGTTTGTATATTCTGCTTAATTCTTTCTGTAAATGTAACACTGTAGGTTGCCATTATACCCTCTCACTCATACCGAAACAACAACATCAAAAGGTCATTGAATCTTTGATCTGGAGAAGGACTGCAAATAAAATATACCTTAACTGGAGTTCCTCTTTGCCAAGATTCTTGTACATAGTCACAAGCTCCCAACTTCTGTTAGCTATAGTCAAACAGTCCTTTTCACTCAAAAACCACTTACGTTCAGTAGAAGGTTTGAGAGTAGGCAATGTTTAAGCACATCAAAATGGACTGATAAGAAATACTTACATAATTTTGGGTTCGTTCAGGAAAGATACATAACAAAACTACATAAAAGGGATATGCAAGAGAGAAATGTATGTCGGGTATTATTTCGTGCAAGTCTTGTAAACCTGGAGTGAACGCGGGAAAGTGACTGCAACAGTAATTACTTAGTTTATATCATTTATGGTTTTATTACCGTTCAATTAATATCTAAAAAACAAAGATACAGATTGTTACTGGTGGAATACTTGCTATCGGGCATTCTGGCTTATCTTCATTCATCTTGAATAAAGACACCAGAGATAGTAAATTGGAGCAATTTTATGACAGGTACAGGATGGTACGGAGCGTGTAATAATATATGCCAGTTCTGTTGTTGTATTTGTTAATCATTACTATTGTCATTACTTGTATCAGAGAGATTTTGTTATTGGGATGAAGCAAGCGTTACTGAAATGGCTAATGAACTTCAAAAATCTGGAAATTATGATTTTACGTTGGATAACGATGGGGCAAGAGTACAACTTTGTTGTGCAAGACTGCCTGGGACAGCAGTTGGGAAACACCAGTGAATTATTTCACCATTTGTGGAATATTGATATCCTGGTCATTGTCCAGCATTAGTGAGGACGAACCGTACAAGTAGTGACACTTGTGCTTTTGTATGGACACCATGGCCACTAATGAGTAGTCAAAATTTTGGGAGGAGCAGCAAGAGCACCAAAATACGGACTGGTTACTACTTGCCGTGTAGCAAGTTAAGTTTAACTATTCGAAACAGGAAAATATTCCATAACATCTTGCACTTGTAGAACCAGTTGGGAGTGCTGGGTAACAGATATACTGTTATTATAACCATTGAGACGTGGTACAAATTACAACATCTGATGCAACTGATGGTCCTCAGAGCTCTAAGATAAGACATACTTTAGATATATGAAATTGGTCTCTTCCGTAAAAGATGAACAGGTGATTTAGCAAATCGATAAGGTGCCCGTACGTTTTACAATGGTAAAAAAAAGTCAAGGAATGAAATAATCGAGCCTAGTGACAAAGTTTAGCTATGGTACTTGCTGGCAGTACGTAAGCAACTCAGGATTGATTTCTATCTTCTCTTTCAACAACTCACGGAGAGGTAAATTATGAGTTACAGCGTGTGTAAACATGTTGCAGAAGCTCAGAGTCTACATTAACCAGAAGTAGTTAAGGATGAGCCAATTGACTCTGATGACGTGTGCACCGTGTTTGTGGTCAGCATGTAGAACATTTTGCAGAAGTTCAGAGTCTACATTAACCAGAGTAGTTAAGGATGAGCCAGTTGACTCTGATGACGTGTGTACTGTGTCTGCGGTCAGCATGTTGAACATGTTACAGAAGTTCAGAGTCTACATTACACAGAAGTAATTAAGGATGAGCCAGTTGGCTCTGATGACGTGTGTACTGTGTCTGTGGTCAGCATGTTGAACATGTTGCAGAAGTTCAGAGTCTACATTAACCAGAAGTAGTTAAGGATGAACCAGTTGGCTCTGATGACGTGTGTACTGCGTCTGTGGTCAGCATGTTGAACATGTTGCAGAAGTTCAGAGTCTACATTAACCAGAAGTAGTTAAGGATGAACCAGTTGGCTCTGATGACGTGTGTACTGCGTCTGTGGTCAGCAGTACATATTTGTGTGTTTGTCAAAAATCAAACGAAGGAATTCCATTACAAGATCAAACCGTCTGCTTTGATGATCGGCTGACATACATACAGCGAACGTCTAATTAATAAAGCTGGGTTTAACTGCTTAATTAGGAGCTAGAATTGTCAGTTGATTGATAAAATCCTTGACCAAAATGTAGAGGTGTTCCTTGTCTTCCAAGCTATCGAGTGGTGGTTGTCGGTAAGATAGAACAATGGGTCATAACGACACTATTATTGTACAATTAAAGAGCGACGTTTTGTAGCGAGACGTTGATATTGTTACGTCTCCGTTTGTTAATTAACTTTCAGTAACTTCGTTCCCACGAAACTTTAGTGACACAAGTCCTTACTTAATAAAACTGGTTTATTCTTTCCGAATACAACTTTACGATACACTTATTTTCAACAATCACGCTAAAACAAACGCTATATCAACGAACGTCAACAATACTTCTGACTGCAGTTCAATTACTCACTATCTACACACACACATTATTCTCCCGTCACGTTGTCACCCTCTTTTATATACCAGACTACCCTATATCTAGTAAATACTAGAGCATTCGCCAAGGTACAGGATAGTTCTAGAAAATAGGTGGCGCCACACCAGTCACGTGACCTCGATGACGCAACAATATGATATCTTGAAACAGTTACTGCGACGTTTAGTTGCGAGACGTTGGTCTTACATCTTACAACAGTTACTGCGACGTTCAGTTGCGAGATCTTGATCTGATATCTTATAACAGTTACTTAACTTCTCGAGTTTTTGTGACAGTTTGCGACACATACCGCACAGTACACGCTAGATACATAACCTAAGACACATGTGGAAATTGACGGGTAGTTTCAACAGCCAATCGTATACAATAGTAACATTAATTTTTGACACAGTGAGTTGATTAGCTTTATATTTAAATCCGATTACTGCAGCAATTTATATATTTTTTTTATGAATAGATTTTTTAGCATGTGAAAGTGTTTGATTACAGTAATTTTTTCTTATAAATACATGTTATAAATTATTTTGGCTATTGCATTATATAGTTTAGTTCACGCACTGTGAAGTCCTAGGGCTTATAACTAAAACAAACAAAAACAGTTTCGATACCAGCTGAGTGCAGGGCTCAGATATCTCATTTTGTAGCCTTGTGCTTAACAACAACAACAACAACAAATATATTACTGTTACTTGTTTGATGATAATGAAATGTAAGTGACTCAGGTTATCTCTACACCGATGTCTATTAAATATAAGTGACTCACGTTATCTCTACACCACTGTCTATAAAATATAAGTGACTCAAGGTATCTCTACACCAATGTCTATTAAATAAAGTGACTCAGGTTATCTCTACACCAATGTCTATTAAATATAAGTGACACAAGTTATCTCTACACCTATGTCTATTAAATAAAAGTGACTCAAGTTATCTCCAAGAGATAACTTGAGTCACTTATATTTAATAGACATTGGTGTAGAGATAACCTGAGTCACTTCATTTAATAGACACTGGTGTAGAGATAGCCAGAGTCACTTTATTTAATAGACATAGGTGTAGAGATAACTTGAGCCACTTATATTTAATAGACATTAGTGTAGAGATAACTTGTGTCACTTTATTTAATAGACATTGGTGTAAAGATACCTTGAGTCACTTATATTTAATATACATTGGTGTAGAGATAATCCGAGTCACTTTATTTAATAGACATTGGTGTAGAGATAACCCGAGTCACTTTATTTAATAGACATTGGTGTAGAGATAACCTGAATCACTTTATTTAATAGACATTGGTGTAGAGATACCTTGAGTCACTTATATTTTATAGACAGTGGTGTAGAGATAACTTGAGTCACTTTTATTTAATAGACATCGGTGTATCACTTATATTTAGCAGACATTGGTGTAGAGATAACCTGAATCACTTATATTTAACAGACATTGGTGCTCAAGTTATCTCTACACCAATGTCTATTAAATATAAGTGGCTCGAGTTATCTCCACACCAAAGTCTATCAAATAAAGTGACTCAGGTTATCTCTACACCAATGTCTATTAAATAAAGTGACTCAGGTTATCTCTACACCAATGTATATTAAATATAAGTGACTCAAGTTATCTCTACACCAATGACTGTTAAATATAAGTGACACAAGTTATCTCTACACCGATGCCTATTAAATATAAGTGACACAAGTTATCTCTACACCGATGCCTATTAAATATAAGTGGCTCAAGTTATCTCCACACCAATGTCTATTCAATCTCAAATTGCCTCTCTTCCAGTGGCAGAGCTGTACTTGTGGTGGTCACAGCACAGATAGCCTATTGTGTAGCTTTGCGATTAACAAGAAACACACTAACTGTTTGTAATATATTTTCTTGTTATTTTAATTTCGAAAGGTCAAATCTTAGAGGGATTTCTACTCACTATTTTAGAACTGCTTAATTCCAGTTTGCTGAATTTTCACCTATTAGATCCTTTTATCTTTTTTATCCTTCTCGGAGGTTTGACAAAACAAAAATGGTGGTAGCTGCAGTTGAAAACTGTGTATATTACAAGTGTTTGTATCTCGGGTATAACGTAGAATGTTAAATACGAAATCGCACATATATAACGAGTTTATCAGGGATATATTAGACAATACTGATATTGAATAAAAACTATGTATTAATGTTAATTTTTAAAGAGGATCGAGGTAATAGAGGATGTATAGAATGTAATATGATTAGTCTCACACACAGCTATTACATAAAACATATTGAATTGGAAAATTGAAGTGAAAGTTGATTCATGTAACAGATTGAATCACCGTACACACTTTGCTTTGTTTTGCAGTTACAATGCCTACCTTGGTTGGGATATGCATTGGAAGTGCTTTCTTTGTCTTCACGCTAGCAGCAGTCACGTGCTACTGTTATCGACGTAAAACGTTGCAGGTCGCTCACAAGCTGTGTTTCATTTTCAAGAAAAACGTCCAGGAAAAACCTGTCGTGCTGCGAAAACCCACTGCCTTGAAAACACCCAGCAGCGGCCCCAGAGGTTTCAAAAAAAGCTCAAGCCCCACAAACCAAAATACGCTTCCCTTTGATAAGCCTTCTTCCAATTCTCAGAACGTGGATAGAGGAAATACTGACAGTTTGAAGAATCACTCATCTAGTAGCCATGAATGTAAACATTTGATCCCAAAATGTCACATTAAAAACGAAAACGAAAATCATTGTTCTCATGTTAAAAAAGAGAAAGAAAGAAAGGAAAGAGAGAAAAAAATTATAGATGAAAAGGATAGCAAGCTTGGCAAACTCCACTTTCGGTTGAAGTACGCGCCAGAAAAGCACTCCCTACTGGTCACCATTGTTCAATGCACGCAGCTGCCACCGAAAGACTTGAATAGAGGGACATCTGACCCTTACGTTAAGCTGTTGTTGCTTCCGGACAAACAGCACAAAGTGAAGACCAGAGTACTTCGAAAGACCTTACACCCTAAGTACGACGAGGAGTTCACGTTTTACGGCATCACTCCCAACCAACTTGAGGCTACTACCCTGCACTTCGTGGTCCTTAGTTTTGACAGATACTCCCGAGACGACATCATTGGGGAGGTGATCTACTCCTTTCAGAACACAGACTTTGAAGACTTAGAAAAGGAAATTACTCTCACAAAGGAAATTGCTCCCCGGACACTAAATGTAAATCACTTTCAACTGTGACTACTTAGAAATTGAAATTAACACTTACTGAGATTATTAGAATTAGTATGTGAAATACCTATGATTAACACTTGCTAGGATTATTATAATTAGTCTGTAAAATACTTATGATTAACTCTTACTGAAATTATTAGAATTAATCTATAAAATGCTTATGTTTATCGCTTGCTAGGATTATTAGAATTAGTATGTAAAATACCAATGATTAACACTTACTGGGATTATTAGAATTTGTATGTAAAATACCAATTATTAACACTTACTGGGATTATTATAATTAATGTGTAAAACGGTTATGATTTACACTTACTGAAATTATTAAATTAATCTGTAAAATTCCTATGATTAATACCTGCTGGGATTATTAGAATTAGTAGGTAAAATTCTTATGATTACCATTTACTGGGATTATTATAATTATTCTGTAAAATGCTTATGATTTAACACTTACTGGGATTATTAGAATTCGTATGTAAAATACCTATGATCAACACTTTCTAGAATTATTAGAATTAGTCTGTAAAATGCTTATGTTTAACACTTACTGAAATTAATAGAATTACTCTGTAAAATTCCTATGATTAACACATGCTAGGATTATTAGAATTATTATGTAAAATGCTTATGATTAACATTTACTGGGATTATTAGAATTAGTTTGTAAAATGCTTATGATTAACACTTACTGGGATTATTAGAATTAGTATGTAAAAAGTCAATGATTGACACTTACTGGGATTATTAGAATTTGTATGTAAAATACCAATTATTAACACTTACTGGGATTATTATAATTAATGTGTAAAATGCTTATGATTAGCACTTCCTGGGAGTATCAGAATTAGTATCTAAAATGCTTATGATTAACATTTGCTGGGATTATTATAATTTGACTGTAAAATGCTTATGATAAAAACTTTCTAGGATTATTATATCTAGACTGTAAAATGCTTATGATAAAACTTTCTAGGATTATTATAATTAGACTCAATGATTATAGTTTCATCTCCACATTAATGAATGGTTGTCACTGAAAGCTTTGTTTTGAGATTTATTTTACATGTAAACATTTAAAAAAATAACATCTGTTTGATATTGTGCTTTCTAAACGTTTTCTTATAGCTTCGGTCACACGGACGGGGAGAATTACAGGTGTCTCTGTGTTACCAACCTGCAGCTAGAAGACTGACAGTTGTGGTACTGAAAGCTAGAAACCTTCCGAAGGTGAACGTCACTGGAATAAGTGGTAATGAGATATTTTGTTGTTAAATATTTGAAGATGCCCAGGTTTTACTGTAGTATATCCGGGGGTGAAATTCTAAACAATATTCACCTGGTTAAAGTGGACCTGTTTTTGTAAACGAAAACATTTCGTGTAAACATAAAGAATCGACAAAGCAGCTCAAATAAGTTCCGCTACTATGTGCTCAGTAGAATTTCACCCCTGAGTATATCCAGCTAAGTTTTATTTCGTCTGTTAATTGTAGTGCATACAAACTTTATTTACTGAAATGAAAAGCAAACATACCGATTGAAAAATGTTAATTAGAAATTTTCTATATCTTCGAAACATTGTTTCTGTATTGTGTTAATTTCAGAATGATTCGACATACAATGATGAAAAATTATGTTTAAATAGTTACTGAGGCAACATAAGTTCTACTAATATAAGATCTACCAATGTAAGTTGTACCAATACAAGTTCTACTAATATAAGATCTACCAATGTAAGTTGTACCAATACAAGTTGTACTGATATAAGCTCTACCAATGTAAGTTGAACCAATGCAAGTTTTATTGATATCACTTCTACTAATATAAGTTGTACCAATACAAGTTCTACTAATATAAGTTGTACCAGTATAAGTTCTACCAAAGTAAGTTGTATCAATACAAGTTCTACCAATATAAATTCTACCAATACAGGTTTTACTAATATAAGATCTACCAATACAAGTTTACTAATATAAGATCTACCAATACAAGTTGTACAAATACAAGTTCTACTAATATAAGTTCTACTAATATAAGTTCTACCAATATATGTTCTAACAATATATGTTCTAACAATATATGTTCTACCAATATAAGTTCTACTAATACAAGTTCTACTAATATAAGTTGTACCAATACAAGTTCTACCAATACAAGTTGTACCAATACAAGTTGTACAAATACAAGTTCTACTAATATAAGTTTACAATATAAGTTCTACCAATATATGTTCTACCAATATATGTTCTACCAATATAAGTTTTACTAATACAAGTTCTACTAATATAAGTTCTACTAATATAAGTTGTACCAATACAAGTTGTACCAATATCAGTTCTACTAATATAAGTTCTACCAATGTAAGTTGTACCATTACAAGTTCTACTAATATAACTTCTACCAATACAAGTTCTACTAATATATGTTCTACGTATATAAGTTCTACTAATACAAGTTCTACTAATATATGTTCTACGTATACAAGTTTAGAACTTGTATTGGTAGAACTTATATTAGTAGAACTTGTAATTGTACAACTTACATTGGTAGATCTTATATTGGTAGAACTTATATTAGTAGAACTTGTATTGGTAGAACTGATATTGGTACAACTTGTATTGGTACAACTTATATACGTAGAACATATACTAGTAGAACGTATATTTGTAGAAGTTGTATTGGTAGAACTTACATTGGTGGAACTTATATTAGTAGAACTTATATTGGTACAACTTGTATTGGTAGAACTTATACACATAGAACATATATTAGTAGAACTTGTATTGGTAGAACTTACTTTGGTAGAACTTGTATACGTAGAACATATAATAGTAGCTAATATAACTTCTACCAATACAAGTTCTACTAATATATGTTCTACCAATACAAGTTCTACTAATATATGTTCTACATATACAAGCTCTACCAATATAAGTTCTACTAATACAACTTCTACCAATACATGTTCTACTAATATAAGTTCTACCAATACAAGTTTTACTAATAGAAGTTCTACTAATACAAGCTGTACCAATGTAAGTTCTACCAATACAAGTTCTACCATTACAAGTTCTACCGATATAAGTTCTACCAAAGTAAGTTGTACCAATACAAGTTCTAACAATACAGGTTTTACTAATATAAGTTGTACCAATACAAGTTCTACTAATATAAGATCTACCAATACAAGTTCTACTAATATAAGTTCTACGTATATAAGTTCTACCAATATAAGTTCTACCAATACAAGTTCTTCCAATACAAATTCTACTAGTATATGTTCTATGTATATAAGTTCTATGTATATAAGTTCTACTAATATAAGTTCTACTAATATAAGTTCTACCAATATAAGTTCTACCATTACAAGTTCTACCGATATAAGTTCTACCAATACAAGTTCTATTAATATAAGTTCTACCAATATAAGTTGTACCAAAGTAAGTTGTACCAATACAAGTTCTACTAATATATGTTCTATGCATACAAGTTTTACCAATACAACTTCTATATAAGTTCTACTAATATAACTTCTACCAATACAAGTTCCACTAATATATGTTTTACGTATATAAGTTCTACCAATATAAATTCTACCAATACAAGTTCTTCCAATACAAATTCTACTAATATATGTTCTATGTATATAAGTTCTACCAATATATGTTCTACTAATATAAGTTCTACCAATACCTGTTCTACTAATACAAGTTCTACCAAAGTAAGTTGCACCAATACAAGTTCTACCAATACAGGTTTTACTAATATAAGTTGTACCAATACAAGTTCTACTAATATAAGATCTACCAATACAAGTTATACTAATATATGTTCTACGCATACAAGTTTTACCAATACAACTTCTACCAATATAAGTTCTACTAATATAACTTCTACCAATACAAGTTCTACTAATACAAGTTCTACCGATATAAGTTCTACCAATGTAAGTTCTACCAATACATGTTCTACAGATACAAGTTCTACCAATACATGTTCTACAGATACAAGTTCTACCAGTACAAGTTGTACCGATATAAGATCTACCAATGTTAGTTGTACCGATATAAAATCTACCAATGTAAGTTGTACCAATACAAATTCTACTAATATAAGATCTACCAATGTAAGTTGTACCAATACAAGTTCTACCAATGTAAGCTGTACCAATGTAAGTTCTACCAATATACCTTCTACCAATATATCTTCTACCAATGTAAGTTCTACCAATATAAGTTCTACCAATGTAAGTTCTACCAATATAAGTTCTACCAATGTAAGTTCTACCAATGTAATTTCTACCAATATAAGTTCTACCAATATATCTTCTGCCAATATAAGTCCTACCAATATATCTTATACCAATATATCTTCTACCAATGTAAGTTCTACCAATGTAAGTTCTACCAATATATCTTCTACCAATATAAGTTCTACCAATATAAGTTCTACCAATATAAGTTCTACCAATATATCTTCTACCAATATAAGTTTGTTAAAAAAGAAGGATAGACGATTTTCTGTGTAGTTATATTTGTAGGTAGTTGAATGAATACGGTGAGAAAAACCTGTAATTGTAGGGTGTGGTTTGTGTAAACAGCATTTTCTATAGGAGATTAGCAACAGGGCATTTGTTGTGAGCCCATGGCTTTTATGAAATGACTGATGAAGAGACGGCACACTCAGCACACACGAATATCCCTGAACTAAAGGAAAAGTCTTTTCATAATAAGTAACATAAAGTCCATTAAGGTAAGAAACTTACACAGCATTAAGAGTCATTCTTATACTACCTACGAACCACACCCACAGCTAAAGAATTTCTTTTGAAGGTAATATCAAACAAACATTTAACCAGTTTCAAACAGTTTTGATGACAGCCAACCACAAGACACAAGGAACATCAATCGTATGGAAACTCCTCCCAATCGGGTCATCTCCACCCATCTTGACCTTCTGCCAATCAGATCATCTTTACCTATCCTGACCTTCCGCCAATTAGGTCATCTCCACCCATTCTGACCTTCTGCCAATCAGGTCATCACCACTCATCCTGACCTTCCGCTAATCAGGTCATCTCCAGACCCTCTTGTCAATCAGGTCATCACCATCCCTCTAGACCTTTCGCCAATCAGGTCAATCCCACCTATCCTGACCTTCCGCCAATCAGGTCATCTACACCCCTCCTGACTTTCCGCAAATTAGGTCATCACCATCCCTCCTGACCTTCCGCCAATCAAGTCCTCTCCATCCCTTCTGGCCTACCGCCAATCAAGTCATCACCACCCATCCTGACCTTCCGCTAATCAGGTAATCTCCATCCCTCCTGACCTTCCGCCAATCAAGTCATCTCCATCCCTCCTGGCCTACCGCCAATCAAGTCATCACCACCCAACCTGACCTTCCGCTAATCAGGTAATCTCCATCCCTCCTGACCTTCCGCTATCAGACGTTGAAATATGTTCAGAAAAAAGATTATAATTATGTTTCTACAGTTGATTATTGTGATTACTTCAACACTAAATCAGACGTTACACAGTTTGTTTGTTGCTTATGAATCCACTTCGGCAACAGTAGCTTATTTGAAAATAACCTTAAAATAAACCATAATCCATTTCGTGTCATTCCCTCTCTAAACCTTAGTGTTTTTACCGATAAAACCAAGGAAAAGTTTAACACAACCTTACCATAAAATAGTAAAAAATAACTTTAAAATACGCGTATTTCAATCAAGTCTGTAGATAAAGATGGTATACCATATGGAGTAAGGACTTGTATATAGCAGAGGCAGAACGACATCTCTTTAAGTATGAATGTTACATTAAACTTCAAACCGATTATTTCGAAGAATACTAAAATCATTGTAAAGGAGACCATAAACAACTCTTACAAGTAGCGCGATACCAAATTGTAGAAAAACAAGAACATCCTTGTTTTACATCCTACCCAATATACACAAGCCTGAAATCCCCGAAAGGGCTATAATTTCTGCGTGAACATCCTTGTTTTACATCCTACCCAATATACACACGCCTGAAAGTAAAACAAGGATGTTCACATAGAAACTATAGCCCTTCCGGAAATTTCAGGCTTGTGTATATTGGGTAGGATGTAAAACAAGGATGTTCACGTAGAAACTATAGCTCTCTCGGGGAATCCTACCCAATATATACAAGCCTGAAATCCCCGAGAGAGCTGTAGTTTCTACGTGAACATCCTTGTTTTACATCCTACTCATAGTTTCTACGTGGACATCCTTGTTTTACATCCTACCTAAGATACACAAGCCTGAAATCCCCGAGAGAGCTATAGTTTCCACGTGAACATCCTTGTTTTACATCCTACCTAAGATACACAAGCCTGAAATCCCCGAGAGAGCTGAAGTTTCTACGTAAACATCCTTGTTTTACATCCTACCCAATATACACAAGCCTGAAATCCCCGAGAGATCTATAGTTTCTACGTGAACATCATTGTTTTACATCCTACCCGTAGTTTCTACGTGAACATCATTGTTTTACAGCCTACCTGTAGTTTCTACGTGAACATCCTTGTTTTACATCCTACCCAATATACACAAGCCTGAAATCCCCGAGGAAGCTATAGTTTCTACATGAACATCATTGTTTTACATCCTACCAAAGACACGAGCCTGAAATCCCCGAGATGGCTATAGTTTCAACGTGAACATCTCTGTTTTACATCCTACCTGTAGTTTCAACGTGAACATCCTTGTTTTACATCCGACCTGTAGTTTCTACGTGAACATCCCTGTTTTACATACTACCTGTAGTTTCAACGTGAACATCCTTGTTTTACATACTACCTGTAGTTTCAACGTGAACATCCTTGTTTTACATCCTACCTGTAGTTTCTACGTGAACATCCTTGTTTTACATCCTACCTGTAGTTTCTACGTGTAACTGCCCATTATAGTTAATTTTTAGCTTGTTAGACACCTTTAGTACATACTCTTCCAGCCTATGTGTTAGATATAGCACCAACGTTCTTCAAATATTTAATGAAATTGTTTAACTACTGCTACTCCATTGCCATTTATCGTCAATGGACATCTACTGTTAATGGACATTCACTGTCAATGGACGTATACTGTCAATGGACATATACACAGCGTGGTCACAAGTAAATAGATACCACCTTTTCAGAAAAAATGAAAATGTTCAGTCATATTCACATGAATTGATATATTTATAATTTAGTTAACATATAGTAGATCTTCCTTTCGCTTCATAGAGTTCGTTGATCCTTTGGGGCATCATGAGAATCAT